CTTTCTTCATTTTTCAACGCCGTTTAGTGAGATTATAACGTACTAGTTACAATTTAAATAAGCTCCACAAAAGCCCAAGCTTTCTTTTATCTGTTTACAAATGACAGTTGTTATCGCGGTTTTGAGATTGCCATGTGGGGCCTTTAACATTCATTTTCGCCCGGAAAATTATTTATATCTCTGACTTTAAAATAAACCGAGATGGCCGACTGTGTTTACTATGTCAAGCCAACAATGAAAATGCCCGAGAGTAAGAACTGCTGTGGGTTTGATTGTGTCGTGTATTTGCTAAATTGCGCCGCACATTCTGCGAAGCTTTGTTGATGAAAATCTTTGTAGTACGATTGAAAATGAAGACTAAATTTCAAACTTTAGAAAACGCTGTGTGCATAACTAAACGCTGAATCATCAAATGCTGAAAAAACTGAACTTATTAAAATACCTCTATGAAGATGGCGTATGTCCAAAACCTGACTAACACCTGATAGACGGATCAGATATGATCCACTGTAAATGCAACTTAATGCTCTAACCGAAAATATTTCATGCGTTTGTTGTCCAATTAAAGTGATTGCATTTGAACCGAAGGCGAAAATGTTAAGTGTTTTAATTAACTGTAATTGTTTTTCCTTTCTGGTTTTTGGCGTTTGCTAGTCTTACGCAATTTTATAAAATTAATTTTTTTTACACGATTTCTCTTTAATTTAATTACTTTACTCATAGTTAAAACTATTTTTTTGAATTAGTTTATTTGTACGCATTACGTATTAGTACATATTACAAATGTAATCACAAAACTTTTTTCGCACGATCAGTACTAACAACCCGGACGACACATGCCATGAGAAACCAGCTTATGCTTGCGATCAGTACGAGGGATTAAGGGGCAAGGAGGTCTTGAGGCGATCGTGATAAAGGCGACGTGGTGGGTTCTCGGGATAGGAATGTGTAGACAGGGCTAGGGCAGTAGGGATAGGATGGATCGCGATGTTGGTGTGACTTGAAATCTGGGACAGATCAGTTGACAAAAGGAATGTTGACGTCGTGGATTGTGAGGTTAGTTATGTAGTAAGGAGCTTTGACGATTTGTCTGAGGACTTTTGTTTGGAAGGATTGATTTGTTAAATGGCTTGACCGAACTCCACAGTTCCACTACGTATGTTTGTCCACAACGGACGCAGTAAAATCTTTTGTTCGGTTAGTTTAGTGTTGACGGTCAAGAGGATTTCAGCCCTAGATGGTTTCGTAGTTGTCCAAATCGTCTGTTAACTTGTCTCTTAAGTCTTGTGTGGGGATCCCACGTCAGTTAGCTGTCCAAGTATAGTCCTAAGTATTTGGCGTGAATGGAAGTCTATATCTCTTTGTTGTTGAGACTGTCTTTTCATTGTGAACGTACACTGAGTACATTTTTCTTTTTCAGTCTTGCCCTCCACTTTATGCCCCAGTCTTTAGATAAATTCAAGGTGTTTCTTGGATACGATTCGATTTAGAGGACAAAATTGCGATATCGTCCGCGTAGGTGGCGATGATCGTTAATGATATACAGGTTGGAATCAAGAATGCTCCCTTGTGGGACGCCCTGTTGTATCGGTTCGACTTCCGAGTACTAGAAGTAAAACAGTAACTTTACCTGCGAGGAAGACCTTTATAATCGTACCTAGTTTCCAAAATCCATTATAAATTATGCTAAAATAAGAAAGGAAATTCTTATTCCAGAATTCTTAATGATTAGGGGTTGCCTTGTAGCAAATTTCTTCAGGTAGTAGTGAAAGGAAGAAACTTTTTGTCTTTAATGTAATAATTGTTGTTTCTAAACTAATACGTATTAAACGTCTACTCTGCTCTCCTGGTGGTTGTTAGACGACTTCCGAAAACCATTTTACTTTATAAATTATGGATGGAAAAACCCTGAATTTTTTTCCATTGTGGACGCTAACCCATAATTTTAAAGCTTACGATCTTAGGTTTTCCCTGTTTTACCAAGGGACTTGTTTTCAATTTCACCTCTTATTGAAAATAACCTGCTCAAACGTACAATTGTCATATGTTAAATTCATTTTAAATAAATACATAGGGAAAAGAAAATGACGAGGAAAGCGTAGTTGGTGGAGTAATGTTGGCATGTTGGCTGTCCCTGTCCTTGTTCCATTTTTGTGGCTCTCACTTCGTCTCAATCGAGGTGAATGTCAGCTGTGCAATTCTCTTGCCTTCAGCACTTTTTTAATAAATACTTTTCCATTTAAGAATTGTGTTTCAATAACATCCTGCATATAATAATTGATCATGCTTAGACGACAACGAACTGCTACCGTCCTTCAAGTACTTTCAGCAATACGGGGAAACTCATTAATGGCTATCGTTCGTGATGTTATAAGTATTACAGTTGAATTATTCATGACAACCAAATTTTCGACCTGTAGTAGCTTTTTAATTGATCTATTTGCAACTTTCCATTATGATGTAGCACATGTCAATCTCGTGTGCCATTTCGGATAATAATTTGGGGGCATTTCTTTTTTCACTCTTCTATGGCCAATTGAATAACGCGTTCTGAACTTTTCAACCAGAATCACCACTATCTGGACAATATAATTCCAATTATAGTCTTCTGTATGTAGATATATGATAAATTAAACACACATTGAGCTTAATTGGGCTCTTGGCGATATCTTAAGTTAAATTTAAATTTAGAACAACCTTGCTATACTGTCTGGTCCAGTAATCAAATACTACGAACATTTTAATTTCAATAATACGCCAGATTAATATAAAAGTAAAAACACCTGATCTGTTTATGATATTAACTCTGTTCGCTCCTTGGTAGTTTTTTCTTTTGAACAAATTATCAGAACATACCCTAAAGACATTCACTGATGTGTTGCGTCTAAATGTCTAATAGGGAACAGCTATCTTAAATACGATAAGACCGTGAAAATGATCTTTAACGATTACTCGAACCCCAAATCTTCCACTAATGTATGAACTGACCAGATGATTATTATTTAGGGTCAGGTTTTGTACGGTTAATGTCACAGTGATTGATAGTCGGTCTCTCTCATTTAATTAAATACAAATAATCTCCTTTTATATGCGCATTGCGAAAATTGTCGTACTTATCTGAAATAAATGTTTCATGATAGAGTGGGTGGTGTTAATTGTACCCATTTAAAATTACTTAAAGGCAGTCGAACTATTTATTTTTCGTAAAATTTACCTTACATCGATTTTTGTCGCAACTAGATTCTTATTTTCAGAGTCGGTCTCTTTCTCAGCGTTTACAATGTCAAATAATATTTGGTTGGGATTAACTATTTACTTTAACACCATGCTTATGTTGGTGGTCTTTCTCACTTAGACTTTCTAAATATTTTTCAACTGTCCCCTTCGAAATTTACCATTTCACCACATCCTATTCCTTACATTTTAATCATTTATACGGACAAAAAGGAAATTTAATTCTTAATTATACTTGGAGTTCAGATGGCCGCTATTATGAGAAGTATTGGTAAAAAAAAAGGGTTAAACTTCTACATCTAAAAGTGAAGATCGATGGAAAAAAGATAGAAATACTTTTGTTGTATTTTTTTCTTCTTCAAATAGTAATGTTAAGGCTCAGCATAAAATTTTGTTTACTTTTTCATATTATATAACAAAAAACAAGATAAACCAACTTGTTTAAATATATATTTTTTAGATGTAAACCAAAAAACTTTAATTTTAACCTCGGTCAAAAAGATAGAAACGCGTTAAACCTTTTTTGTAAATGGTAATGCTAAGGCCCAACAGAAAAGTGGTTTAATTTTTGTTTCAGTGTTATATAACGTAAAAGAAAGTAAACCAGCGTGTTAGAATATGCAATACTTATTTTTTAAAATTTATTTTTAACTCGGATGAAAATTACATAAACTCTTCCTTTTACATTTAAGATCTTTTTATTTCCCTGTGTTACTTTGATTCTTTTATTTTCGGAAAAGTAAAATTATTGAACAATATTTTTTCTCAATTAAAAGAAGGAAAAAGTGCTTTTCAGATGAAGAATAACAGAATAACTTGAGTAGAAATTGACTGTTTATTTATTTATTTTATGGAGGACCAACCATCTAAGCCAATATTAGTGTTGGGTGGCTCTTTATTTAAGGAAAGCTAAGCTTAAATAATGTTGAAATTACAAGTTCCTCTTACAATTAAGATCTTTTTATATCCCTCTTCTGTTGTTTTCTTCCTTTCATTTTCGGAAAAGAGTAAAATTAGTGGAATTTTTTTCCTCAATATAAATGAAGGAAGGAAATGCTTTTCAGATGAAGTATAACTTAATAACTTAATTCAAATTGGCTGATCATTTATTTAGTTTTGGGAGGGAGACCAACTATCTAAGCCAATATTAGCGTTGGGTGAATATTTAAACAAGCTAATAAATAATATTGAAATTACAGTAATGAACAAGTGCCGATTATTAATTTTTTTAATCTCTTCATAACCACATTATTTGTGTATATTCATTTAAGTTAAAGGAAAATTTATGTTTCACCCGGGCCAGGAAATTCCCAGGGTACTTATATTGGTGAAAGGCACGTACAGAGCCCCCTTAAAAACCTGCACCTTCTCGTTAATCCTATGTGATTAAATGGATATCAGAAGGATTTTATACCTTCTAGTTAACCCTAATTACACAAACATTAAACATTAAATAATAAATATTACAAATATTATATATTAGTGTTCAAATTCAAGCTTCAGTTGATTCAGATTCAATTCAAATTGAATTGATCTTTGAACGAGATGGACAAAATTTAATGTTGATATGTCCAGTTTTATGACTGAAAATAGAAGTAATCTTTAGGTTTTAACAAGTTGTTTTTCTTTTTTTTTACGTTATATAATGTTTAAAACAAAATAAATCCACAGCTACTTTTCAGTTTAGTGTCGGCATTACAGTTTTTTCAAATGTTTAAGGTGTTTCTATCATTTTGCCCAGTACTGTAATTGGTTTGATGTTACAGGAGCTCGTTGACGAAAACGAGGCATGTAAAAGAAAGAACCGCTATCTATCCGAAATGGAGGATTCTTTCTTTGAAGCTTCAAGCAAAAGTATGCCTGTAAGCAGAAGGCAACAGCAATGTATAATTCAAAATTAAGTTTATTAAGGTAAATGACACAAATTGGGCTCCCAGCGATGTTCGTTTATTTTTCTTTAATAATCTTTTTAATTTATCAAATGCGTAGAACTATTCTGTATATTCTCAGTATTTTAATTTAATTAATTTCCATTTTACATGTCGCATGTTTTGGTAGTTTAACTGGTGAAAAAATCTTGTAGTTGAATTAAGGTTTTTAGAAAATGTAAGTATAATTTTTATGTCGACTATTCATAGAGGGAAAAAGAGCACATAAAGCACGTTAATCGAAGGATCCTTAAATTAAAAGTCAGACTTTGCACCTTTCCATATGTTTCAAGGTTGTTTCGGAGAGCTTGAAAACTTTTATAACAGAATTCCTATGCGGGAGATTTCTTCATTTCTACCCAGAAGTGAAAGCTGATTCAGATCCGAGACCGGTGCCACAGAATGGGGTTTCCCCGGAAAACATTTTAGGTCCCAAACACTATTTTTATTTGCTAGGAAAATAGGTTTATAATATTATCAGTTGGCCTATTGATAGGCACTTACAAGATAATATTTTCTCACTTCGCGAATTCACAGAAGATTTGTAATGTTGTAAAAATTACTTAATATTCGGTACTCTCTGTCAGCGCCCATGCGTGCATGCTTGTCAGTGATACAATAAATCCAGTGGAATATCCTTGCCGAATGGATGTGCTTCTGGTTTCCAATCCTGAAATATAACGGAGTCACATGCGAAAAATTGCGCTATTCATATTCAATCGATTTATATAAGTTCTGTTTTAATTGTATCAAAAATGGGTTCGTCATAAAATAATTATTATATTTAGTTTAAAATTGACGTGTAATGGCGCTTTCTCACGATTCAAATTTTGCTTTTTAAAAAATTAGTTATGATGATTCAGTTTTTGTTCACACATTTCGATAAATATCGAGCAAGTCTTTATTGCAAATCGTTGAACGTTATTTGTTATACGTTTTATTTTTTGTAACCATCTTAATTTTGTTCAATTTTAATTTATTTTACGATAATTATTAATTTTTCGCCTTTCCTCTCACATCTTTATTTTTCACATCATCATTAGGACGCGGGGTTCATAAATCATAAATGTCGGCCAACTTTTGTGGCAATAATGCCATTAGGGGCGTCGGTGGCAAAAAAAAAAAAAAAAAAAATAGATGCCACTTAGCCAAACGCCTTAATTTTGCGATAATAAATCGGGGAATTTTGACTTATTTGACAATACATCTAACAGCATGTATTGTCAAATAATACATATATTGTTACATAAGTCTGCGTTATCAAAGGGAGTAAAGCACGTGGATTGTCTTCATGACTGGATATGGCTTCAAGTCTACTGGAGGCTCATTTTTGTTCTTTAACTTTTTAACAAAAAACAAAACACACACCCAGAGTGTAAAAGTTGAACAGAAACACTCAACTTGGAAGTTCACACGTTTTAGGTAATGATTCAGCTTGAAAGGTTTGATTTATGGCTTGACCGACAGAAGTTTGGCTGGATCAGCTAAAAAGGAGATCGATTCTGATGAACTAAAGGTTGTCACGATCGATTTCGTTCAACTTAAGTTGATCACCTAAAAAAGGCGGTCAGTTCTGTTGAACCGAATACTCCCGCGATAGATTTAGTTGAACTTTAGTTGATCACCTCGAAAGGCGATCAATTCTGTTAAACCGATGGTTGTAAAGATAGATTTCGTTCAACTTTAGTTGATCAGCTAAAAAGATCAATTGTGATGAACGTGATTAATTCTGTTGAACCGAAGATTCTCACGACAGATTTCATTCAATTTTAGTAGATCAATTGAAAAGGTGATCAACCCTTTTGAATCGAATGCACTCACGATAGATTTCGTTCAACTTGTGTTAACACCTAAAAAAGAGGGTCAATTCTTTTGAACCGAATGTTCTTATGATATATTTCGTTTAACTTGAGTTGATAAAAAAAAAGTTATCAACTATGTAGAACTGAAAGTTCTCACGATGGATTTCGTGTAACTAAAAGTTGAATGTAATATGTATTTAGTACCACAATTTTGCACAACTTCTTGCATTTTACGTACGTAATACATAAAACATCTAACAACTAAGTTCATGTACAACTTTAGTATTTTTTGGACATGCTTTACTGAAGTACTCAAATCATACTAAAAAGGTTTCGCTTGGATGTTGTCCATTGTAAAACAACCATTACCCACTGTCACAATTAACCTTGGAAAAGCATGTTGTTACCTTTATCACGATTAGATGCGCTTGGATCTTTTCTAGCCGATAAAAAATTGAGAAGGAGGGAATGAGAAAACGAAGTTGAATGTGCGTACATATCCCACCATAAATACTTTCACTTTTTGTAAATTCTCAATTAAATGATATTCCTAGAAAGTTGTTGATGAATGAATTATTCCCACTTACATTTATTATATTTGTTGAATGTGATTGTTTACTTTTGTTTGTTGGGAACTTTTCCAGTGGCCGTTTAGGCATTGAACAAACACCCAGTCAGAAAAATTAAAAATTGTGACGCCTAAATTAGTAACAATCGAATTACCAATTAATAACATAGTAAACAAATGATAAAATTTATCAGGATATTGTATTCTTAGGAAAGGAAAAATAAATAAAAAATAAGCATTGTTGTTACAAAAATTTTGACGAAGATAATTTAATAGTGTTAACTAATTCAATTGTATAGATTATAAAAAAATAGTTTTTACATTTGTATACGCGATTTTTTCATAAATAGTAATGGGTAATTTTCTACTATGGGCGATAATAAACCGGTGGATAACAATACGGTGTCACATCCAATTACAGTCAACAGTCAATGACCTGATACACTGTTTAACATGCGCGATTTAATACGGTAACAAAATAAATATATCTGGCTGTATCTATCTTTAACTGTTATCAGAGCTTGACCACATTAGGGTTATTCTTTCCTGGTCATATCTGACCTATTACCCCTGTCAGACTAAACCCTCTCGATTCAGCAGTCTATAGGTCTCGTTGACTTAACATGGATTTGATTTCGGAATGTAGAATTCGGTAAAGGCGAAGGTAAATGACATTACTTTAATTTTCGGATTAGGTCGCACGTTGAACAATAAGTAATCGTATTGTATGAAGAGAAGGCTAATGAATATACAATTCTCAGTTCCTCTCAGCAAATAACAGGTTTGTTGGTTCATTACACAAAGAGAGCATAAGTGATTAATTAAGACCAACACATTATATACTATTTTTCTACCTATTCAACATGTATTTTCACTGTTATCGAAACTGGAAAATTATCTGAAGTTTGTGTGTAGAATATAAAGAAAGGAGAGCTGAATAAAGAACAACTTAAGGGTTGTTTTAGGAAAATAGTATATAAAATTGACACCTAATAAAAGTAATAAAAGCAAAATAATAAATTTCAGTTTTTATTTACAATATATAGTCTATTCAATTTAGTATTATTTTTCGATTAAAATATCAATTTCACAGTCAATGCGACATAAAAAAATCTACCTGTATCGTTTTTTGTTCTATTTATTCTGGATTACATGTGGAAGATGGGATAATCCCTGTTGAGATAAAATTATCAAGGTATTTTTTTTCTCTCTTTTTGTTAATAGCATTATCCCCTGTTTATGTTGATAAAAGTACTCTTGGCAACATCACTTATTACCTTTTGTGTCATCTTACGATTAAAAAAAAATGTGCGGGAAAACCTTTTCAGAAAAGCTTGGTATGCTTTTCATATTTTGTACACAACATGAGGGAAGGGAATTTTTACCGTTTTGTCTGTTGCAATACAAACACTCTTTATAAAGGGTAAGATAGAAAAAAAATGTCTTGTATACATAGCCAAATCAATCTCATTGTTCGCGAGGCTTTTCGTTTTTTACGACCAACCGTTAGCTTGCTTTCCTTATCAGTTAAACAAATTTTCGGACAAATATGACAAATAATTATGTTAACTCGTTGTAAATACAATTGTGAAAGATGTGCAACCAATTCGCAATTGTTCGGACGTTCCGGATGAGCCTATTGTGGTCATATATTTTACAAATTACCCTTGTGCAATTTTCTGACACTGAAGTTTTATTTCAAGTGAATCTTATTTATATTGCATTTATTTTGTAATAAATAAAAGTGATTATACTTGTTTTTCTGTCTGTAATTATGTTATTGCAGTACATTTATATTCTTTATTTTATAAACGTCGTATAACAATAGTATGCATCTGTCAGTCTAAAGATGTATAACTACTTAACTGATTGACTGAACTCTTTGACGTCCTTTCAGCTCTGATTTTCCCCCTCTGTGAATAATTTACATAACAATTATATTTTGATTGTTGGAGTTAAAAAAAATATATTGAACTACCAGGTTACGGTTAGTTATCTTAACATGGAAAGGATATTAGCACAAATAATAGCTTTACTGGGAAATGAATGGGACGTTTTAATTGGTATAAGGTGAATTTAATTTAACATAGTCTGTAAGCTACTGTAAAGTATAATATCGTATTTCACATGCCTTGATATCAAGTATGTTTTATTAGTTGTGTAGGCCATGTGAAATATTTCAACGAGTTTTTCACATCTGTAGATATTTGTATACACACAAAAAAATCATTTACAATGTTGACATTTGTTATTTAAGTCAAGGGAAGTAATTTTGTTTTGATTGTTGTGTTGTAGCGTGGAGCGGGACCGGCTTCGAGAGCGGGAGCGTCAGGCAAGGGCTCAGATGTCCTCGGCCTCTGAACGTGGGGACCCTCCATCCGGCACCCCACTTTTCGGTGCCCCAGTCCGGGTAAGTTTGTCATTATTTTTAACTTCACCTTAGTTTTAAAAGCCTCTGCCAATTGCCTTGTTCTTTTCTTATTGGACGTTACATTATTGTTGGTTTAAAAAAAAAAAATTACGAAATATTTTTCGTATTTTTTTCAAAATTTTCAACATATGTATTAAGCGAAAAATAAACGTGTGCAAATTTTATTTTACGAGATGGAATTTTTGCATGTTCGGGTTGTTAACTAGTGAAATCCCTGGCAACCGTTCACCAAAAACTTTGACATGGTACATATATTACAGCGGTGATATGTACTTGTTAAACCATATCCAAGTCCTAAGATTCGAAAGGTTTTCTGAAAAAATAACATATGAGTTGTTGATGAATATTTGAAATCTTGTAATGACTTGTGTATCACATCACTTGTGATCAAAATTGCAAAATAAAACAGCCTAAACAGTTGAAAATTTGCTTATTTTTTTATTATAAATTCTCATTATTTGGATGGGTTTCATTCTTTTGTTTCATAAACATTACCAGTACAAGGAAAATAAAATTAAATAAAAAACAAATCATCCTCGCTTTATACGATAAGTCATTACAAAATAAATCTGACCCAGTAATCTCATTTAATAGATGCACTATAAATCGTTCAGATAAAATGTCCCGATAGCCAAATGTAACTGATGTACTCCACTACTTGAACAACTGTTATTTAATACATTCGACCCTAAGATAAACGTACTAAAAATAAATAAATCCCATTAAAAAAATGTATATGAAAATAATTTTGGTCAAACATAAATCCCTGTGTATGATGTTTAGTGACTGTTAGTTGATTATTTGGAGATCGTGAGATGTGGTCTGGTACCAGACGCATCTCACGGTCTCCAAATAATCATAAATCCCTGTAACCAAATGCAACTTGCAAGTATTCTGCTACTTAAGCAAAAATTATTTCATACATTTCACCCTTAGTTGTACCTACAACCCTCATAAATCTACTAAAAAATGAATAAATTCCATTGTGAAAAATGTCCTGATAAATATTTTAGGCCAAACAAAAATTCCAGGTATCAAATGCACCTGATGAACTCGACTAATTAAACAGAATTATTTCACACATTCAACCAACCCTCTTCCCACATTCCCCTAAGTATGTTATGTCCAAATTAATATGTCCTAGAACATAAACGCATTAAATAAATAATTAATTAAATAAAAATAAACCCATTGTCAAAGAATAAAAAAAGGAAATAATTACGTTAAAGAATGAAAGGAACTGAATAAAAAAATGCCAAAAAATAGCCCTCTAACCAAATTTAAATTATATATTTTACACAACCATTATTCTATGTATTTTCACCCTTGCAAAAAGAATTGAAAAATAATTCATTGCATAAAACAGTGTTAGAAGTTGAAAATAGAATCCCATTACAAAAAAAAGTGTTCGAAAGAACGTTAGATCAAAACAAAAATGTCCTCCTAAGGAAATGAATGAAATGATGTATTCTATATTGTATTATCGGCCGTTATGTTATAAATTTCATCCTTAAGAGAATAAAAATAAAATAAAACAAAAACTTATAAATCCCATTAAAACAAAAATCTTCGATCTGTACGTTAAGTAAAAATTGTAAAATAATATCGCCCCCATACCAAAAACTGGCTGATGTATTATAAACCGTTTAAAAAGTTTATTTGTATTGTTTCCGAGCTTTTTCATTGAATTTCATTCTAACAGCATTAACAGCAAAAATACCTTCACAAATAAATACCTTTATCGATCCTTCATAATAAAAAAATAAAACTCCCCCTAAATCCATTCTACCGGATGCACCTAAACCGTTTAAAAAGTCATAATTTTTTATAATTCACTTTTACATAAGAAGAAATAAATAAAAGCATTTCGAAAAATATAAAGACCCTCCGGGTTTGTTAGATAAAGATAATAGAATTTTTGGAAGTTTATCTCGTTGCATATTCCAAATGTCAAATAAAAACGACCATCGACGGTCAGTAAAAAAACAATACATCTCTCAATGGCAAATTGAAAACGCTGTATAATGTAAATTGTCTTACACCTTGAAACTATGCAAAAGTAAAACACCCCCCCCCCCCACGAAAACACGTTTTGTGCAATTCTGGTCATTCATGAATTGCACTATTAAAGTCTTTCGGGGCATTCGGCAGAAACCGTGAAGGATAATTGTTGCCAATCCTGTCGTACTTTAATCACATTTATTTTTAACGAAATGGAAACGGCATAATAACACTATTGGCTATGTTGTGTTCGTTTCATAGTATTTCATTAGTGTGAAGTGGTTGTTCAATTCGGTCGAGTCGGTCACAGGTTGACAGTTCTCTTCCGTCGGAGGTCTTTGAGATCTTTCAATACAGATTTTAATCCTAGTTGAAGGTTTTTATTTTCGTTAGAGTGTGAGTTTCCTTAAGTTCTTTTTAATTATTAAAAGCTAATTTAATTTGTTTTAATTTTTCATGCCTCAATCTTTTAACTCATTATTTCTTCTCTCACTATTTTCACTAATTGCCTCTTCTTTTGTAGTTAAGTCCGTTCTAAAATCTAATTTGAAATGAAATTAGTTTCAGTTTTGGAATAGGCACTACGATTAAAACTTGTTCAATTGTCATGGGAAATTTTATTTACTTAATTTCCCTAATGGCTTTTTATTACATAAAACTATAAAAAATAATAATAATCAAATCAGCAGTTGTCGGGAAGTCTTCTTAAAAGTACGAGCAAGAAACTATTGGCAAAAACAAATCGTAACTCTAAGAACGGGGTAAAATTAAAAATCTTCCATCTTCCCAAGATCTTTTCTTTGCCGGGCTGTGAGTTGTTCAGCAAAATGAGTTTATTTATTGTATACTGCTGTAATGAAATAAAGTTGTCTGGGGATTTAGCAGAATGGCTGTTTGTACACGACAAAAAAGTTCAAATCCGCCGAAGTAAACGATTGGAGGTAGTTCAGAGTATTTGGATATAGAGAGATGTAGTTCAGAGTGTTTTAAATAGAAATTTGTTAATTCCCGTTATGTCTGTATGTCAGAGTCATTAAACGGAAGCATGAAAATATTATGTTCTCAAGCGAAATGGTAACAAAAGTTATGTACTTGGTTTGTTTTTCTCATCCGCATTGGTTGTAGGTTTTTCAACACTACATTCGATCTTTGTATTGCATCATTCTATTTGTCCCTTTTGTCTTTATTATTGTTATGACTGTTCTGAGTCCCGGTATTCTACAACTATTTTTTAACCCAATTAGTGAAAATCCTTTGATAGAGCCGCAAAGAACAACTTTTCAACTTTTTCATTCACCTGGAGCCCTTTTGGGAATCTTGATAGAATTGTGGAAACAGTTCGTCTTGAAAATGTGTAAAAAGATGATCTATTGGTTTGACCTTTTCATCCATGGATCACATGTTCTTACCCGCAATTATTTCTCACGTAAACTATTATTGTCATGATTACTTCTTACTATCCTCACTTCTTTCTGTTTATTTTCTCATTCAAACTTACCTTTACCTTATAATCTTTATTTCATATCATCCTTTCTTCTTCATCTCTGGAATTTTCATTATTCAAAAAAGATAATTTATCATTTACACGGGGAATGAAATATAAACAGAGAAAAAATGGGTCTATCTCACGTATTCAAGATCACCTGTTTAAAAATGAACCTACTCTCCTATACGACAGCAACGATTGACAGTCATCGACCAACCGGAAAATACCCGCGAAAATACCTACAAAGGCCGCACTAGCATCCACATTGTATATCTTTTTTAAAATATAATTCATTTTATTCTTTAAAAATGAACTCCACGGTTGTGTTATTTCAAAGGTAACACGTGTTAACAGCTCTTTTCTTTTTTAATGATATTCAACAGTAAATAAACGAAATCCTTGAGGGTCTTAGGTTGTAAGAATACAATTTCCAACGTTCGTTGTTATTTTGACCTCGTACAAATCATTGAAAATCCTGACCATCTTTATGATTATTTTTAGCCTTCATAGCCTCGGCGTATCGTGGACAGAATTTTGTAACAAAAAAAACTTGTAACGTGGTTGGTTATAAATTTAAAAATGAAAAATTAATAAATATTTATTTTAAAATGTATTTGTTATTACGAAATGATAGCTGTTAATTTCGAATTAGTCTCATTGCAATTTATTTGAGCCTCAAAGCAAACATTTTCAAAATTCATTAAATTCTTCTTAACGCAGAATATCTTGAAAATTCCGTTTATATTCAGCTAATTAATGCCCTACAACACACTGTATTAAATGAGCTTAATATTATAAATCAAATTGCAAATCTGTTATTACAAACTGCACGTGAAGGCTGTTAGGAAAAAGCAGCAGTTGAATTTTGAACTAGGTCACACAACGGTTCTTGTGAATCCTAGAAGTGTATCATTACACGATTGAGAAATTGCAATTATATCACAGGCTTCTCAAGCCCGTTTTCTCGGATTTAATACATTTTCTACGAAAAAAAATTGTCCTAATTGATATCATTAAACCTTTTCCCTTTTTTTAATCTATTTAGTCCGTAAACGAGATATTAAGCTCCTGGTATACTTTTTAGAACGATTTAATTAAATATCATTTGTTTTCATTTCCTATGTATTCGCGATCATTTATGTTTTTATTTATTTCAATTTTACTTCATTTTTGATGTTGTTTTTCCACCTTAATTTTGTATAATCGACCATCGAAACTGTCTTGTCGATCGAATTTATACCGTATAAAACGTGTTTTGAAGATAAAATATTAATTTATATATCTTGGGTTTATTATATGGTTTTATTAAGGTAGTGATGGGTATTATGGTTGTTGTCAAATAACAAAACTGTTAATAATTGGTTCTTCGTTTTTGGACATTTTAAATTTTCAACATCTCATTTTTCTTTCTTGTTTTGGCTCTGTCGCTATATATCTTTTGGTTATTCCCCTAAAACGAGAATAATTAAACGGTAAATGCAGCTTAAGTTTCATTGAAAGATAGGAACAAGATAAAGAAAAAATAAAGACCGCAGAACAAAAGTAAAGAAATAAGAGAGCACACTGAAAAGAATGTCAACTGCCTTGAAATGTTAATCGGAATTTCATAAAACTGTGGCAGCTAAGAATATAAGGCAGATAAGAAAGGATTTGAAATGGGACAGGAAGTTACTGAAATAAAAAACGGAAACAAAAGAGGGATAAGAGATAAGGAAATATTGGAAAAACAATCAGAAAATTCTATGATGGGCCCTAATACATATGGTCTCAGATCGGACCAAGCCTTTTATTTTATAATGTAGAGATATTCAGCAGTAACAGATATATAGTAGAAAATGTAAGATTCCCTAAATATATAAACATGGTAAAAAATAAATACTATGATGTTTTAAAAATACATTGTGATCAGATATACTTACTGTAAAAATAATTTAAAATATAGAAGATTATGGAATGCCGGAATGTTTCTGGAGTCTGGGAAGGCATGTGACGGTGAAAGCATTCTTTAGAACGAATCAAAGAACGGCGGAATGCCAGTATGAAACGTCAAATAAGAATCAGGAACACAGTTGATTTCTTATGGTCAGGAAAACACTAAAAAATATTTCCCCATTTAAATTAACAATTTTTTTTTAATGAGAACCATTGACATTTATAAAGAAATATAAAATAATTTGACCATGCTATTTTAATTGAAATTGCCAGATATCCTCCTGTGGACTGCGGGGTGATCAACGTATAATTTGATAGTTACCTATGGTCTGCCCTATCTTCGCTGATTTTGCTGTCAGATGCGTTTCGGTATTTCGCCATCTTCAGTGTTGGGCCTGGGAAACCCGACTCGACTCGCACACGCCAAATCGCGTATGATAGACAAATAAACAGGGATAGGGCATTCCAAGATGATAAGTAACTATCAAATTATATGTTCCTCACCCCGCAGACCAAAGGAGGATATCTCACAATAAGGAAACAAGTTGCAAAAAATACAACATAGATAAAAGAAAATACGCCACATTTATAAAAGAAGCGTAGAAGAAAAAACTAAGAAAAAACAACATTAAAAAATTTTTTTGCCATTTTCTACTTGGAAACGATTTTTGAAAATAATCAAAAAACCTTTATGCATAGAAAATTCATTGCTAATTAATAATTATTAACGGAGCCACGGTTTAACAAGTGGTCTAAAAGGAACATGCACTGGATGACTTTCATCTTCTAAAAGTAGTTTATGAAAAACAAAGGCAGGAATGTTCTTCATCTAAAATTTATAACACCTGTCACGTATGGCTGTAAAAGTAGGACTATTAAACAAGAAAAAATAATTAGTCGAATGGAACTGGCAATTAAACAAAAATTGGATGGGTTACGTTTAGTATAACAGTAAAATTTAGGGCAAACTTGTGAACTAATAAAATGTTGATAATTTATCAAATTATGATAAAAATGAAACTCAATGAAGACGAGTGGAAAATTGAAAAACCCTGATAAAAATCTCCTGAGAAAAATCGAGAATTAGATAGCATGAAACAGATTGAACAAGTGAAAATGAATAAATTACATCAATTTCTGTTTACAACCAACAAATCTTCACCCTTTCAATAGTACAAATAAACCCGAGATTTATTTATCCCCCTGTAAAAGTAGAATGTTTAGTAATTTGGCATGCTCTTGTCCCACTGCTCCATTGCCTTGACATACTTAAGTTGTAAACAGGTTTAGGATCGATATTGAACCGTAGTTCTCAAAGCGCAAATGTTTACTCAGTGGTTATAAACATCAATTAACATTGCTCATGTTCACTTACACAGTGAACAATTATTAGAAACCGTTTTCATATGTCCTGTTATGATGTCATTCTATTTTGTCAAAGTGACAATCTATTTTCCTCGAAATTAATCTACAAATTGTTAACATTTATTTACCGAAATTTATTTCATATACAAAATCGTTCAGAAACTGAGATATTTTATTTGTTGGTTAAAACTGAACTATTTAGGAAATATAGTTTGTGTCGTGTGTTTTAAGGCGAAGTCTTTTTTATTAGATTCACTATAGCTTTTTCCTTGTTGAAACCCTTCTTATGATATATATAGCTTTTTTAAATAATGAATATAGATTATTTATTAGAGAAAAAACCGATTCAGCCAGTGACATTATACTGTACTAGGGTGCTGGTATTTATAGCTTTTTTCCTTTATTCTTTTTCTTTCGTGCATCTTTGTCATGGACTCTCTCATGATTTGTCCACTGTTTTCTCAGCTTGCTAGCCTCTCGAAGGTACCTCATGACTTAAAGTTACTATTAAAAGAGCAAGAAAAACATAAACACATAACATATAAAGATTTTCACGATTCTAACCTCCTCCGGAGATACCGCTAACGATGTGAGCCCTGCTGGAACACCCGGACCATGCGTCCGGGAACCCCCGGTATGCCTTGACGAAGAGCCGATCGACAACACTCCCGGAAAAAAACGCAGCGGCTCACCAGCGAAATAGCCGAAGCGCACGTGCGGTGGTACAGGATATTCCGACGACGCCGATATCCCGTCACCTACCAAAACAAGACAAGCCTGGCCATATTCACTCCCCCAAAGTACTCGATATTCCTCGGGGCGGGTTTACATTAGGTTGTACTTTCAAATTGTTATGTTTTATGTAACAGTTTGGATTTTGTTTTATTCCCTGATGACATTAGATCAACAGAAAGAAACCCGTATTTTCTGATATTGAAGACTGGGCGGTTATCAATCTCCCAATCCTGTTAGTTCTCACCTACTCTTCGATATAACATTACAATTTATTCGTTTTCAATTCTACCATTCCAAATTTCCACGTATTGTTTACTTCCTTACGGCCTAAATTTTCTTCGAATTTTTTATAGTTGGTTATGTTCGGCGCTCAGTGTTTCGTCGTGTTATCAGCACTGGTCACCTTGGAAAATAATTTAGACAAAGGACAAAGGATAGTGCTATCACTCCTCTGAGTTTAACCCTCTCTAACTGTAGCAGAGTTTACCACTCTTGGTGAGGGATGTTTTAGCATAAGCTTATTGTGACTAGTACCTCTAGAATCTATCCACTTCTCATTTTGTTTTTTTGGGGAAAAGTAGTTCTGTATTGGAGGATTCTGTATATGCTTTTGTAATATAAGTATAGATTCAGGGCCTATATATCGTTTTGCAGATCTTCTTCTGGCCAATATCTGCTTTTACTCAACATTCCTTTGTGCCCTTGCGAATATCATCTGGTTATGTTTCCCGAGGGTTTGGAGTTGTGTTAATTCACTAATTTTGAAGTAATTTTTTTGTACACTAATGCTTACTACTAACAGCTCCTTGGCCATCCGATATTATGAGGAATCTTTGCCAGTAACCTCTTGTAACATTTTCTAGGGCAAATGCATTGATGGCATGCATTTCTGCTTGAAAAACCGAAGCGTCCTTTCCTTAAAGGGTTTGATTGCTTGTTTTTTGGGCTTGTACAAAAACTCCCGATCTGGTCTCTTCGTTTTTTCTGGAGCCATCTGTATACCATATCATTGTATCTGATGTTCTCCTAAATTCTTCTCCTTTGTAGTCTGTTGAGTCTTTATGCTTTTCCTTGCTTTGCCTTCTAAAATATTTCCAATGGCGAGGTAGGTTTTGCAGTTTCTAGGACAATTGAGGTGGTTGCTTTCATTGCCTCTGTTATACATACGTTCAGTCTTTGAATACTGCCTAATATTTGGGTAGCTTGTTTTTGCTTAGCTTTAATCCACCAGCTTCGTCGTGTTAAAAAATGCCGCAACAGTATATCTAAAGTGAAGTAGAATGCCTTAAAACTCATGGTTTATCCATTCAAAAGTTAAGATATATTTAGTGTTTATTTAAGAAAATCACGTTTCCTTACATAAAAGCTGAAGTTTCTCTACTCTGACGTAACTTCTTCCAACTTTTGATCCCATTTTTAGATTTAGTACCGAATTTCCTTTTCAATAAATCCACTTTTGTTCTGAAAATTGCCAGTCTATTTACAAAATAACTGCTCAAACGTAATGAAATTTGTGAAATGGTAATTTCGAATCATCTTCTTTAAAACTTACCTCCCTTACAGTACATTTTTAAAAATATCAAACCGGCTAAAAACTTCAACATTTTATTTTATTTTATTAGGTTTCGTGGTACGCTTGGCCAAATAAATTCTTTTCAATTAATTAAGGTTTTGTTTGAGATAAAAAAAGTCAGTGTCACAAGCGGGATTCGAACCCACGACCAGCTCAGGTGGTAGAACAGCGGCGTATTTACGAAAGCCTTTTTAATTGAAAAGATTTCATTTTATCTTTATTATATCGGACAGTCTGTTTGAAACCTCGATTATTTTGATTTTTTGGTCCGCAATTTCTGTTGGAAGTTGGGAAAGACTGGTCTGTTAATGAAATGCATGGCCAAGATTTGACAGGGTATGTAAATTAATGGAAGTGGAAAAAGAATACATTTATTATTAAACATATGTACGTAACAGTTTACAATATATTTACAAAAAATGGCAAAAAGCCCTCTGGCGGAATTTGGAATTCTTTTGGTTATATCAAATTTAATTTAATAATAATAATAATAATAATAATAAAGAGGTTTATTAAAGGTAATAATAGTTAAGATGATTCTAATTAACATAAAAAATACATAAGTCAAAATAATAATCTAAACTACAAATCCTATTTTGTTATCCCTCCCAGTACGAGTTTCGGGGAGGAAGCCAACAAAGTAAAACTTAAAATTTGTCATCAAGCTTTCGGCCTAGTTAATGCCTTCGTCAGAACTCTTTTACAAATAATTAAAGGTGTTTTATATAAAATTAAAACACATTCATAAAATACGACAATTGAATAATTGATTATAAAATTTGTCATATAAAATCTCAGCCCGTAGTCACATTACTTATTGTTATCATGCAAATTATCAGATAACGCTCAGATAAAAATTTGACACTCATGTCGAATCTTCGTCTAGGTAGATACTTTAATTGCACTAATTTCCGATAACGGAAATTATAATATTACAGGATAAAATAAAAATAAAGTGGTATTCTCACGAAGCCCCTAAAAATGCGATCTACGCCAGGTACCAAGAAAGTTTGGTAAATTTAATTGCCAATTGTTACGCATTATTCTTTCACAACCTGGCCCCATCTTTGAACATTGTCGGAAATTTCAGGGAAAACACCATTATTAACTAGGTAGGAACACGTAACGCCCCATTTGAACGGATCGATCTAAGCCGGAACATGACTGATGGAAGGTTCTTTTGTATTAAAATTTCCTTTTTCGATATACGTAAAGGAAAAGTAAATAAAAACTGATGACAGAGGGTATAAAATATTGTTACCTTTATGGCTTCACAATAATATCAAGAGTAAAAAGGAATATAAATGTTTTGTTGAACCTTTACATAGTACCTCCTGTATTTATCAGTTTTATTATTAAACTGGTTGTTGTTTTATTATTAAACTTATTATCTATAAATCCATATCGCAACTTATAATTTTTTTTTAATGAGTTGTAACAATGTCTCGGGAATTTTCCATAATTTTTTAAGATCGGGGTTGGTCGGTCGACTCGTATTCCTATACCAGCGGCCCTGGAATCCCGTCTTAGTCCATTTTTATTTGAGAATAATATGGACAAAGTATTGTAAAGTGGTTTGACCCCTCACCCGCGACACCCAACGGTCTTCTTGTATGACAGGAATTACTTTACGCACTTAAAGCACCTAATGGTATTGTTGAACATTCCTTGACATCGAACTGGCGAAGTCTGTTCGACATTGTTTTACTTATAATAATCTTCTATAATACCCAAATTTAATTCACGGGTATAAATCATGGTTAAGGCGAACTTGAAAGAAATCAAAACTGACAGTTCCTTTGACGAGCCATCCAAGGATTCAAGCTGCTCCTTCGTTAGACTTTGGAAAATAATAAAAATTATTTACATGGTTAACATATATATATATATATATATTTGTTT